AGTTTAAATTCATCAATGTACAAGATATATATTATATTTTACTCGTAACTAACTGCATGGAAGTTAGTTGGATTACATAATATTATTAAATCTTTTGTAATACTTTTTGTTTAAATATAAGTAACAAGACAACACTTCCCCCACCCCCACCCCCCCACCCCACCCCCATTTTAGAGCGGAGAACTGAGGTATATTTTATTTCGGGTTAAAGTCAGTTTTATTCAACTTAGAGATAATATCCTTTACCACTTAATAGGTTAATATTACAAGGTCTTTGGAAATGCTCTCTCTCTCTCTCTCTCTCTCTCTCTCTCGGTGGTCACTGTATGTTCATCTCAACATTACTCAACACAGGTTATATATTGAACAGTACTGGAATTTTTTTCAGTTTTTTTCTTGAGTGTACCTGATCGTGGTATACGTTCAGTGAGGTATTTACGTTCAGCGAGGTATTGTTACGTTCAGTAGTATTACGTTCAGTGAGGTATTTACGTTCAGTGAGGCATTGTTACGTTCAGTGAGGTATTGTTACGTTCAGTGAGAGTATTGTTACGTTCAGTGAGATTACGTCAGTGAGGTATTGTTACGTCCAGTAGGCATTTTTACGTTCAGTGAGTATTTAAATGGTGGAGTGAGTTATGTCCAGTTGACTTGGGGAGATTATATTGTCCACTTACCTCCCCATCCTCCTCCCCTCCCATACCCAAAACTCACTGCCCTTCCCCCTACTCCCCGCCACCCCTCCTCATCCTCCTACTCGCCACACTCCCCTCTTCTTCTCCTCCTCCTCCTCCTCCACCCCTTCTCTTCCCTCTCCTCCTCCACCCATTCTCTTCCTCCTCCTCCCCTCACACCCCCTCTCCTCCTCCTCCTCCCCCTCTCCTCCTCCTCCTCCTCCCCCTCTCTTCCTCCTCCCTCCTCCTCCCCTCTCCTCCTCCTCACAAGGTTCCTTTGTATCCTTTCTCACCATCTTTCATGTAACAGCCCCCCCTCCCCCAGCACTCATCAACCCCCCTCCCTACCATTCATCCCCATCCCACCCCTCCCCTCATCCACAACACCCCTCTTCCCACTCATTCTCAACACCCTCTCCCCCTCATTCTCAACACCCTCCCCCTCATCCTCCTTCCCCTCCCCTCATCCTCCTCACCTCCCCCCCTCATCCAACACCCTCTCCCCCACTCATTCTCAACACCCTCTCCCCCTCATTCTCAACTTCCCTCCTCCCCCCCCTTCATCCTCCTACCCACTCCCTTCCCCTCATCCCCCCTCCCCCCCACAGGTCGGTCTCAGCTAGACTTTCTCTCTGGAGATTGAGTAATTAAGTCAATTAAACTCTTAGCTTGTCAGGTAATTAACACGACTTGAGACTCCTGCTGGTTAGTGCTACTCTTTACGGGGCCTCGTCTTATATGCTCCTTGCCGGGCTCTTCGACTTATGCTCTTCAGGGCCCTCCTCCCCCCCCTCCCCCATCTAAGACTTAATACTTTGGCCCCATTTCATATACTTTTTTCTTCTCTTTTGTCGGATTCCGTCTTATGCTTCTTCCTCCTTGTGATGTTCTGTCTAATGTTATATATGTCGGATTATGCTCTATGCCGGGACCTGAATTATGCTCTATACGGGGCCCTGGATTATGCGCTATGCTGGGACCTGGATTATGCTCTATACGGGGCCCTGGATTATGCGCTATGCCGAGACCTGGATTATGCTCTTTACTGGGCCTTAAATTATTTTCTATGCCGAGACCTGGATTATGCTCTATACTGGGCCCTAGATTATGCTCTACACGGGGCCCTAGATTATGCTCTATGCCCGGTATTTTATTATGCTCTATGCCGGGTCCTGGATTATGGTTAATGCCGCTACCGGGTTAAACATTACGCCCCATTCCTGTTCTCAGAAACATCACTTTACGTTCAAAAGGTTAGGTTAGGTTAGGTTAGGTTAGGTTAGGTTAGGTTAGATTAGGTTGAGGTTAGATTAGGTTGAGTTAGGTTAGGTTAGGTTAGGTTAGAGTTAGATTAAGTTAGGATACCGTTTGGGTGCTTACGTAATTAACAGGTGAGATAAACTAGGAAGAGGGGGGGCTATTCTTCAGGTAATGCTCTATTTTCCAGGCATCACCACATATTATCCGGACAAAGTTTCTTTCTGTTTAGTCACGGTCAAATTATTGGTATTAAGGTACACATAATTATGATCTTAGTGTTGATTTCGTCAAGTTCCGGAGTGAGTTATGACACTGAATCTTTCGAAGCTTCAGATGTTTTGTGGTCTCGAGGCTTCACATCTGGTTTGGTCTAGAGGCTTCAAATACGTTCTGAGAGAGAGAGAGAGAGAGAGAGAGAGAGAGAGTTAACAAAGACTGACACTCATCAACACCACACCTGTAGAGTGACACAGTAGGCAGGTGACACACACACACACAGAGCAACAGACATCAGCTAAAACAAGTTATCTTCCCACACCATCACCCTCCCCCATCCTTCCATCCCCTCCTCCCTGCACCCCATCCCTCCCCCCACTGCACCTCCTCCCTTCCTCCCTGTAGCCCCCTCCACCTACTCCTTGCAACCCTCCTCCCTGAACCACCCCCTCCCTCCTGAACCACCCCTCTTCCCTACACCTCCCACATCCTTCCCCCTCCCTACACCTCCTTCCCTACCTCCCACACCTCCTCCCTGTACCCTCCACCTCCCCTCCTGTACCCTCCATATCCTCCCTGCCTCCCTCCCCTCCCTGTACCATCCACCTCCCCTCCCTATACCCCCACCACCTTCTCCCTGTACCCCACCTCCTGTACCCCCACCTCCCTCCCTGTACCCCCACCTCCTCCCTCCCTGTACCCCCTACCTCCTCCCTGTACCCCTCCTCCTCCCTGTACCCTTACCTCCTCCCTGTACCCCCACCTCCTCCCTGTACCCCCCACCTCCCTCCCCTGTACCCCCCACCTCCTCCTGCCCCCCCTCCCTCCCTGTACCCCCCCTCCTCCCTGTACCCCCCCCCCTCCCTCCCTGTACCCCCACCTCCTCCCTGCCCCTACCTCCTCCCTGTACCCCCACCTCCTCCCTGTACCCCCACCTCCCTCCCTGTACCCCCACCTCCTCCCTGTACCCCCACCTCCTCCTGTACCCCCACCTCCTCCCTGTACCCCCACCTCCTCCCTGTACCCCACTTCCTCCCCTGTACCCTCACCTCCTCCCCGTGCCCCCACCTCCTCCCCTGTACCCCTCCACCTCCCTCCCTGTACCCCCCACCTCCTCCCTGTACCCCACCTCTCCCTGTCCCCCCCCACCTCCTCCCTGTACCCCCTACCTCCTCCCTGTACCCCCACTTCCCTCCCTGTACCCCCACCTCCTCCCTGTACCCCTACCTCCTCCCTTGTACCCCCTCCCAGTCGACAAAATTCCCGCCAGCTCCGTGATCCCCAAGCCTCAGCCCGAGCACAAAAAGACTCCCGGTGAAAAAGGCCAAGACTCAACTCTCGCGTACTTCCATATGAATAACTCCCGACTGATCGATCTCCAGGTGTGTGTGTGTGTGTGTGTGTGTGTGTGTGTGTGTGTGTGTGTGTGTGTGTGTGTGTGTGTGTGCGTGTGCGTGTGCGTGCGTGTGCGTGTGTGTGTGTGTGTGCGTGTGTGTGTGTAGAAGGTATATGCGAAAGGGAAGGCTGGCGTGTGGAAAGGAACGGGTGGTGTGTCGAAGGAAGGTTGACGTGTGGAAGAGGAAGGCTGGCGTGTGGAAGGAAAGGTGGCGTGTAAGAGAAGGCTGGCGTGGGAAGGAGCTGCTGTGTGTGTGGGGGGAGGTGTGTGTGTGTGTGTGTGTGTGTGTGTGTGTGTGTGTGTGTGTGTGAGCGGCTTACTCCTGTGCACCTCCATTAAGAGATAGCGTCTCAAGGCCTCCGTCTAATTACCTTTGCTGTTGCCTTTAACACATTAAACGCCTCTCTCGCGTTACACGGCCCAGGGCACAAAGCCGCCGCTCTCCCGTGCTGGGTCAAATCCCGAGTGGGGGGTAGGGAGGAGAGGGGAGGGGGGGAGGGAGTGGGGGAGGGAGGGAGTGGGGGAGGGAGACTAGAGGCGACACTACCATCAAGACCTGGAGTTGAAGGAGGAGGGAGGAGGAGAGAAGGATTAAAGTAAGAGGAGGAAGGAGGGGAAGGAGGAGGAAGAGGCAATGGGAAGAGGAAGAGGAGGAAGGAGGAGGAGGAAGAGGAAGAAGTAAAAGGAGAATAGTAGGATGAGAAAGGAGGAAAGGGAGGAGGGAGGAGGGTGCAGTAAAAGAGTGAAAGAGAAGAATGAGAAGGAGGAGGAAAAAAGGGAAGGAGAGAGAGAGAGGGAGTAAAAAAAGAAGAGGAGGCGTGAGGGTGAGGGAAAAAGAGGAAAAACACGAAGAATTGAAGGAAGAACGAGAGAGAGAGAGAGAGAGAGAGAGTAAAGAAAGATCAATGAAACAAATGGAAAGGGAGAAAGGCAGAAGGGGAGAAATATAGGAACCCATTAGAGAAATCTCCTCCTACCCTATCCCCCCCTTCCCTTCTCCTGCCTCCAACCCTTTCCTCCCTCTTCCACCCCCTCATCACCTACTTTGAAGCAGATCTTTGACTCATTAACAAAAATAATGACCCCCACACACACACAGGAACACCAACAAGGAGAAAAACGAAAAAAAATTAAAAAAATTAACAAATAGAAAGGCAACGCACAAAGGGAATAAGGAAGAAGGGAACAGAATAAAACAAAAAAACTCGACACACTAAAACACAGAAGACAAGGAGAGAAGAAGAGAGAGAGAGAGAGCAGAACACCCCCCCCGCCCACAACACACAAAATTATACTGTATCTAACCACAAAATAAAGCAGAGTCACTATCAGCCCCCAGCAAACTTTACCTGTACTGAATTAAGGTTAAAGGCAGTGTTAAGACAACTGTGTGTGTTTATACCTGCTGAGAGTGGGATACACACACACACACACACACACACACACACACACACACACACACACACACACACACACACACACACACACACACACACACTTTTCCTCTTGAAATTGACTTAGCAGTGAAAGCTTATTTTAAACAACCAAATCTCGAATATATATATATCCCTCATAACCAATACCTAAGAAAATTAAAGGAAAAAACACCTTCAAACGGATTATTCTATAAATTATCAACAACAACAAAAACAAACTCCTATGTGTCTTATAGTTGAAGAAGATTTAGGGACGAGTATAGTGAAACCTCTATTTAACGGACTATATGGAGAACAATGTCCGTTATATTTAGGTGCTCGTTAAATTTGAAACCTCCATCTAATGAACACTATAGATATAAAAATCCGTTATATCTAAGGTACGTTATATGTGCAACCCCCAACTAAGGGATTATATTATATAAAGAGAAGTACGTTATATAGAGGAAAGTCCGTTATGTAGAGGAAAATCCGTTATATAGATAGGAAAGTCCGTTATATGGAGGGTTTAAGAGCAAAATGTCGTACATATTATCCTTCCTGAGGTCGTTACTAATAGGTCAGGTTAGGTTAAGTTAGGTTAGGTTAGGTTACGTTTAATTTAATTTAAGTTGGGTTGGGTTTGGTCAGGTTAGGTTAGGTTAGGTTTGAGTTGAGTTGGGTTGGATTAAGACATCGTACTTAAGTGGTTAAGTCATCGTACTCACGGGATTGTCATTATACTCTGAAGCCATTAAGTCATCGTACTCAAGGAATTAAATCATCGTACTCAAGGCATTAAGTCATCGTGCTCAAGGCATAAAGTCATCGTACTCAAGGCATAAAGTCATCGTACTCAAGGCATAAAGTCATCGTACTCAAGGCATAAAGTCATTGTACTCAAGGCATAGTCATTGTACTCAAGGCATTAAGTCATTGTATTCAAGGCATAAAGTCATTGTACTCAAGGCATAAAGTCATCGTACTCAAGGCATAAAGTCATTGTACTCAAGGCATAAAGTCATCGTACTCAAGGCATAAAGTCATCGTACTCGAGGCATTAAGTCATCGTACTCACATGCAAGCAAAACAATGAACTAACTACAATAATTCACCCATTAACACCACCCAGCGCTCTAAACCACGATTATAGGTAGCGTAAATAATTATAGAACGTCATGAGCCACCTAATGCTCGTTAAGTGATATTTAGTACAATATTTACCGATTATTGCGTAGTGTATCGGTGGGTGTTGCGGGCCCCTGATCGAGCGTTGATCATAACGGTGAGGCCCCTGATCGAGCGTAGATCATAACGGTGAGGCCCCTGATCGAGCGTAGATCAATTAATACATATCAAGTTCCTATCTCTCTAATCAACAGCTGGTTCCGGCCCTTGATCGAGCGTTGGTAAATTAATCCGTATTATCGCTCTCTCTCTCTCTCTCTAATCAACAGCTGGTTCCGGCCCCTAATCGAGCGTAGATAATTAATAAAAATCCTTTATTCATTTTATCAACAGCTTCGGCCCTTGATCGAGTATATATAGTAATAGCTTAGGCCCTTGATCGAGCATATATAGTAATAGCTTAGGCCCTTAATCGAGCGTAGGATAATTAATAATAACTCCATTCATTTTATCAACAGTCGGTTCCGGCCCCTGATCGAGCGTTCCCCTGGACTGTTCTTCCCACCTCATCTCCCAGGTCCTCTCGCCTCGCACCTCTTCCCTCACCTCAAAGGTAAGTGAGGGCCGCCTCCTAACGCTCCACATATCATCTCTCGGGTCATATACGTCACGCCTGAATCGATCTGAACTGTTTGATATTGTTTGTTTGGTCTACCTGCACTGTTTACATACTGCTGAACCTGTGTGATGACTTAACTGAATAAATATCTACCTGTCTATTCATCCATCTATCTATCTATCGATCTATTTATTAAACTATCTACCTGTTCATCTATCTACATGTACTCGGTTCCATTTGCCAGGGTTCCCGGGTCTGTGTTCGTGCTGTCCCATCAAGCCGCCTTCCTTCAGCCCGCTCTCCTCACTCGGATCCACTTCACTGGCTAATCCACTCTCGTCGCTGACCAATCAGACGCCTTCCCTCGCCTCCCTAGCCAGTCAAACCCCATCGTCGCTGGCCTCCCTAGCCAATCAGACGTCGCTGGCTTCGTTGAGCAGCGACCCGCGGAGTTCAAGTGTGGCAGAACTTCGCCGGAAGGCACAGGAGCACTCGGCGGCTGTGTTGCAGAGTCTCCATGCTGCCTCCCTGCACAACCTGCAACAGTCACTGCAGCAGCACCAGTCCTCAGCACTCAATATCGAAAACCTCCTCAAGAACGACTCCCCAGTGCCGGCGGACAGGGAGAACTCGCAGTAGTAGTTAGTGTGGGAGTTCTTCCTTCCTTCCTTCCTTCCTCACCTCCTTCCTTCCTTCCTCCCCCGTGATAGAGGTTATGATGCTCTCTTGGTTCCTTGTGACTAAATTACAGACATTTTCATGTATTTGAGAGAGAAATTACCTTAAAGTACAGCACAATAACCAGACTACAGCGGCAAGTATATAATTATGTAGATAATAAAAGAAAATTATTTATTACATATTAACCATGGACTAAAATTAATCCACAATGTATTTAAAGACGACAATAGAAAAAAAAGCACAACAACAATTTTAATACATGAGAAATACAAAACTGTACTAAAAGGTAATATCTAGTAATATCGTTCCCACAAATCAGATTAAACGCTTTCAAATTATTAACCAAATTAATTATTGTCACACCAATCCGGTAATAAGGACCCAGGGGAGTGTACGTGATTTAGTATGTCTGTCCTGCAGTGTGTCATCTTATTTAATTTTTACCTTTTTGGATTTCATGCGATATATATATAAAAAAAGAGGTTTACCATTATAATAAAAAAATAAGAGATACATGTTCATAAAAGTCTTCTAGTCATAATACCACTAATTCTGGAACGCACTCGAGAGACGCTTTAAGGTTATGTTAACGCACTCACTCTATGATGCTGTGTGGTGGTTAATTCGCTTTGTTTACAGTCGCACGAGTACTAGAGAATTCCTTCCCGCCAAAATTATCAGCTGGTAATTTTGGCGGGAAACACAAAGAATACGTGTTTACATTCACAGGATTATCAGTGTAATTCGTTCCCGCCAAAATTATCAGCAGATATTTTTGGCGGGTAAAATGGAACAAATACTTCTTTGTTTACATTCAGCGGAGTACCAGTATAATTCGTTCCCGCCAAAATCATCAGTTGATCTTTTTTGGCGGGAAAAGGAGAAAAACACGTCTGCTTTGTTTACATTCACACATGTGCCAATGATGATTTTTTCCCGCCAAGTAAAGTGAAACGAGGTTAAGTGAAGTGGGGTAAAGTGAAGCGAGTTAGAGTAAAGTGAGGTAGAGAGTATAGTGAAGCGAGTTGGGGTAAAGTGAAGCGAATTACAGTAAAATGAAACGAGTTGGAGTAGAGTGAAGCGAGTTGGATTTGAGTGAAGCGAGTTAGAATACAGTGAAGCGAGTTGGAGTAAAGTAAAGCGAGCCATTATCCACCAGACCTCAATTATTCTTAACACGTCTCTCGGTTACGCTCCGACACCATCTCATGACATACATACATACATGGCAATAATATACTTAGTGCAGTAAGTTAGACACTGGAGCTATATTTCTTTAGTACTGTATATTGACACAGTTGCTAAATGCTTCCCACACATATTGTATAAAAACTATGGAATGTGTTTTAATTAATAATATCTACAAAAAAAAATTGTTGTTTTTAAGAAGAAAAATAATTATATATAACTTCCATTGTATATTAGATATTTTAATTACGTCACAGAATTTAATTACGTCACAGAATTATGATATGCACACATAAATTGGGTTTCGGGAAGAGCCGAATCCAGTGATGACTGACCCTGTATATAAACCCCTAAGTTTGTGTTATTTTCCAATGTGCCAAAGAACAGACTCCCAGTCCTCCCATGTCATTCGACTGTCACTGGCTTGTCACCTGTCAATTAAGTGTGTCACCTGACTCCAGTTTAGTGTACCCCCCATTACCCCCACACCCAAACATTACACCCCCCCCACACCCATGACTCAGTGCTCTTAAGCAAAGCCACACTGTTATTTACGCCACAGTTCCTGCTGGTCCCGCCCACCCATGTGACGTGTTGGACCGTGATTGGATGTTGTTTACCAGCGGTTATAAATGTATTTTGGTTACAATATACTTCAATTATAGGAATAAAAATAATTATAATTTGCCCGCATATTAAAAAATAATAATAATTTACACAAACATACAGACGTTTAGACAAAAAATACCATTACCAATCACAGTACAAACAATTAGCCAATCACAGTGCAGCACGTCCTACCAATATGACGTCACAGCATCTCCTGCACCAATTAGGAACAGGAAGCTTCGACTGGGGCTCAGGAACCTAGACTTTACAAGCAAGGGTCAGACCTCTAAATATCGCCAGCGTTTCAATGGCCGACTTTATGTTCTCGACGGGGCCAACTGATAGTAATATAAGAGTGAGATTTAGAGAGAGAGAGAGAGAAAAAAGCGGGACTGTTGTTTGAGGGTCTGTACCTCAGTCCCTTGACGTTGGACACTGGCGATATTTTAAGACCAATCCCTTACCCGATGCGTATTTTAAAAGTCAGCGGCCGGATTCACAAACACCCACAAGATAACTAATTCTCGTAAATACAAATATAACAACGTATTTAACTGAGACTATCTTAACTAGATCACTTAACACCATATTCAGTTAAGGTCGAGTCTCTGTGTAAATTTGGTGACATTTCATTTAGGTCATATTAAGTTATATTTATGAACTGTTATGAATCCTGACCTACTGTGTGTGTGTGTGTGTGTGTTGAACCAGAGGACAGTTTTAATCACCTGGGGATAAATTGCCCCCGCCTAGTTTATTTAACCTGAAGATTAACCATCCTAACGTTAACCCAACCTAACCTAACCTAAACTAACCTAACATAACACTAACTTGACCTATCCTAACCTAACATAACACTAACTTGACCTATCCTAACCTAACCTAACCTAACCTAATCATCCTAACATTAACTTCCTTGACCCCCCACCTCCTCAGTAGCGTTAAGGTGGTTGATCTTCAGGTGAAATAAATTCAAGGGAGGGAATAAATCATTAGGTGATCCATAAATATATTTCGAAACAGATGAAGCCAATGTATTCAACCAATGTATTCTGTTTTCGAAGCAAGATAAAAATACATCATTATACAACTAATTTATTTCAATACAGCAAAAAATAAATCAGTTATCAGTGTATTCAGCAATAAATTTTATCTCGAGGCAAGAAGAAAGATAATTTATTCTACAACTGTATTCTCTCTGTTTCAGTACACAACAAAACACACACACACACACACACACACACACACACACACACACACACACACTACATAAAATACATCAAATACATTCTACTACAACTGTATTCGATATCCCCCCCACACCCTCCCCCCTCCCTCCTTCCCCTCCCTGGTGTGTCCATAGTAGGGGGAGGGGAAGGAACAAACGTGTATAGAAGGGCACAAAGAAACAGTTTTAGTTGACAAGAGGTTCCTTCATTGTGTGTAATAGTTCCTACCATGAGTAAATACCTTCCCCCTCCCCCCGTCACCTCACTCCCCCTACACACACCACTGGCGTTACAACAGTATTCCTACCACGTTACACCCAGACAGATTCCCCCCCTCTCTCTCTCCTTCCATCACCCCTCCTTAACATCCAGCCCCTTCCTTCCAGTAACATTCGTGTATTACCCAGCCCCCTCCATTAGTCCTCCCCTCCCCCTCTCATGTAACATTCGTGTAACACCAAGCTTCCACTCCGACCTCCAGTGACTTTTTGTGTAACACCCTCGTAACACTTGTGAAACGACCCCGTAACACCTGTTCTAATTAATCCTTAAACATTTGTATAACACCTGCGTAACACCTGTGAAACGAAGCAGCCCGTAACACCTGTCTAAGAACTCCTTAACACCTGGATAACAACCGTAACACCTATGTCACACTACCGTAACAGTTCACTAATGCTTAACACACGCGCTCGCTTACCCGGTGTTACACTTTCCTCGTATGACAACTCTGTAACACCAACATAACACGGATGTAACACCTCATGACGGCATTTGAACATACACACTAACACGAGCACATTACACACCACACCTGTACTCACACACCACACCTGTACCCACACAACACACCTGTACCCACACACCACACCTGTACCCACACACCACACCTGTACCCACACACCACACCTGTACCCACACACGACACCTGTACCCACACAATCACAATCTGTACCAATAATCAATAATCTGTACCCACATACCACCTGCACCCCACATACCACACCCTGTACCCACACACCACACCTGTACCCACACACCACACCTGTACCCACACACCACACCTGTACCCACACACCACACCTGTACCCCACACCACACCTGTACCCACACACCACACCTGTACCCACACACCACACACCACACCTGTACCCCCACACCACACCTGTACCCACACACCACACCCAGAACCCACACCACACCTGTGTACCCACACACCACACACCCACACCACACCTGCACCCACACACCACACACACCACACCCACCCACACACCACACACCACACCTGTACCCACACACCACACCTGTACCCACACACCACACCTGCCCACACACACCACACCTGTACCCACACACCACCTGTACCCACACACCACACCTGTACCCACACACCACACCTGTACCCACACACCACACCTGTACCCTCACACCACACCTGTACCCACACACCACACCTGTACCAACATACCATCATTACCCCCCACCCCCCCCAATACCACCATCCCCATAAGGGTTGTAACTGTGTAATATATGTACATTAAGCACACTGTACACCTACCTTACCTTACCCTTATCTTACCTGGAGGCAACGGGACCCCATCTCATTATTGTTTATTGTAATATATGTGTTAACTGGACTACATACCTGGTTTTATTTACACCTGAGAACTGGCATGACAAGATGGAGGTTTATTGTTTAGGTTTATAATACGTGTTTACTTAATAATAATAATAATAATAATAATAATAATAATAATAATAATAATAACAGCAATAATGGTAATAGCAATAATGGTAATAGCAATAATAATAATACCAACAACAATAATAATAATAATAATAATAATAATAAAACAATAGATAAAACCAACGTGAAATTAGATACAAAATTTACATTGAAAATAAAATTAATACAAAATAAATAAATAAAATGCACAAATGAACAAAATTATCCGGGTAACAAAAGTAAACAAATAAATAGAGAACTAAAGACAACAACAATTAAAATAAAGTAAAAGTAATGAAAGTGAAAATAAGTGGTAAATTATTAAGTTTTATTAAAAAAGAGACGACAGACTTCTAGGTAAAAGAAAGTGGCCAACTGAAATTAGTTTGAACCCTTTATTATCAGGATGAGTTTGAACCATTTACTGTCATAATTAATTTGAACCTTACATCACTAAAACTGAGTTTGAACCACCATGAGAACGAGTTTGAACCACTATGAGGACAAGTTTGAACCACCATGAGGACGAGTTTGAACTACCGTGAGGACAGGTTTGAACCACAATGAGAACGAGTTTGAACTACCGTGAGGACAGGTTTGAACCACTATGAGGACAAGTTTGAACCACCACGAGGACGAGTGTGAACCACAATGAGAACGACTTTGAACCACCATGAGGACGAGTTTAAACCACCATTTGAACCACCATGAGGACGAGTTTGAACCACCATGAGGACGAGTTTGAACCACCATGAGGACGAGTTTGAACCACCATGAGGACGAGTTTGAACCACCACGAGGACGAGTTTGAACCACCATGAGGACGAGTTTGAACCTTCCACTACCAGAAAAAGTTTGAACCCTATTAAGGAAATTACTTTTTTGGTAATCGACTTTAATCCAAGGAAACAAAACTGGCAGAAAAGTTCCCTAATTGGATTAATTCTCGCTGTGTCTTGAGAGTTCGCAGCCAGGACAATTATATACTTGCTAAATTTAACATTAACATAGTGAGTGTGTGTTTATTGTTGCTAAATTTAACATCTTGAGTGTTTATAGTTGCTAAATTTAACATCTTGAGTGTTTATTGTTGCTAAATTTAACATCTTGAGTGTTTATAGTTGCTAAATTTAACATCTTGAGTGTTTATTGTTGCTAAATTTAACATCTTGAGTGTTTATAGTTGCTAAATTTAACATCTTAAGTGTTTATTGTTGCTAAATTTAACATCTTGAGTGTTTATTGTTGCTAAATTTAACATCTTGAGTGTTTATTGTTGCTAAATTTAACATCTTGAGTGTTTATTGTTGCTAAATTTAACATCTTGAGTGTTTATTGTTGCTAAATTTAACATCTTGAGTGTTTATTGTTGCTAAATTTAACATCTTGAGTGTTTATTGTTGCTAAATTTAACATCTTGGGTGTTTATTGTTGCTAAATTTAACATCTTGAGTGTTTATTGTTGCTAAATTTAACATCTTGAGTGTTTATTGTTGCTAAATTTAACATCTTGAGTGTTTATTGTTGCTAAATTTAACATCTTGAGTGTTTATTGTTGCTAAATTTAACATCTTGAGTGTTTATTGTTGCTAAATTTAACATCTTGAGTGTTTATAGTTGCTAAATTTAACATCTTGGGTGTTTATTGTTGCTAAATTTAACATCTTGAGTGTTTATTGTTGCTAAATTTAACATCTTGAGTGTTTATAGTTGCTAAATTTAACATCTTGAGTGTTTATTGTTGCTAAATTTAACATCTTGAGTGTTTATTGTTGCTAAATTTAACAATTCAGCCCCCCCCCCCAGGTGAAATAAGTTGGGGTGTCTAATCTTCACGTGGCAGCTACTCCACGTAACCATAAGTACAGTGTATTGGTAAAAATGACAAATAAACACCTTTACCTCTCTGTGTTGACGAGATACACCTGTGCTGTGGTAATTACGGCAGTCGACGGGGTTTACCTGTGGAGAGAGAGAGAGATGGAGTTAACCCTTTGAGTACGATGATTTCACCCCTTGAGTACGATGATTTCACCCTGAGTACGATGAGTTAACCCTTTGAGTACGATGATTTAACCCCTTGAGTATGATTATTTCACCCCCCCTGAGTAAGACTTAACCCTTTGAGTAAGATGACTTAACCCTTTGAGTACGATGATTTAACCCCTTGAGTACGATGATTTCACCCTGAGTACGATGAGTTAACCCTTTGAGTACGATGATTTAACCCCTTGAGTATGATTATTTCACCCCCCCTGAGTAAGACTTAACCCTTTGAGTAAGATGATTTAACCCGATGAGTACGATGATTTCACCCTTGAGTACGATGATTTCATCCTGAGTACGAGGTTAACCCTTTAGTACGATGATTTAACTTGAGTATGATTATTTCACCTGAGTAAGACAACCTTTGAGTAAGATGCTTAACCCGATAGTACGATGATTTCACCCTTAGTACGATGATTTCACCCCTAAGTACGATGATTTCACCCCGAGTACGATGAGTTAACCTATGAGTACGAGAACTTTTACCCCCTGAGTACGATGACTTAACCCGATGAGCACGATGATTTCACTCTGAGTACGATAAATTAACCCCGGGAGTATGATTACTTCACCCCATGAGTACGATGACTTTCCCGATAATTACGAAGCTTAGTCCTCTGAGTACAATGATTTCACCACCTTGAGTACATAGCCACACTACACAAGGGAATACGTCACTATATTCAAAGGGTTAACACATAGTATATACACACACTAACTTCAACCCAGCTACACCACTCTTGACTATTTCACGGTTAATAAAAAAGATCCATGAATAATAATTGACAACATGAAGTAATACCAACGGTT